ATACCTCAATTTGAAGCCATTTTATAGACCAGTAGCACAGGATTCTTTGTCACGTGTAATATTTATTGGATACTGGAATAAATTCGAGCAGTTTTCTTGTTAGCTATAAAAATAAAAAGCAAATATTAATTTCTTACATATAACAGGAATTCCAAAGAAACTATAAGTCGTCCTGCCTTTTTACCAGGCAACAACAGTAAATCAATAAACGCTTCTTTGATTACAATGTCCCGTCCAACGAGAGCCTTTAAGGAGACAGAGGAAATCTTTGCCATTCCATTTAGAAACGTCTTAAATCTTTATACCCGAGGGACGCGGTAGCGATCGGTGTACGTCCGCAAAAGTAAACTGAGAAATCGAAGAGCTTGCGTTTGATCCCGTTGAAAAATCCATGCTGCTCGTGCAACTATATAAGTAGACGATGAAAGATGACGCGGGGGCGGTACTGTTCAAGGGGAAGGGGTCAGCAAAGGTCGTATAGCTTCCGGGTCTTCTGAAACCTCGGAATAGACGGACTTGGATGTATGCCATTGGTATGTCTAGGTCTCATTTATAAGTAAACTTCGTCTATATCAATCGACGTACGCAACGCATCATGCTACACTCCATCCGATGGTAAAGCACAGTGTGATCGGGAAATCAGTGTCGAGGTCACATCGGTCACCAGATAATTGCAGTCTGTTTTCCAAACTTTGCAGTACGTGCACAGAAGAATGGAGGTACACACCTGTTCCTCCATTTACGCGAGACGTTCTTTACACGAGTCTCTTTTACGTAGTAATTTATAATACTATTCATGCAGTCCTGTTCATACGCGATATTAACCCTTTGCGAACGCCGCCATAATGGAGATTTCATGTTTCGATATGTAAATTCGAAAGCTGCGAATGAATAATTTAATTATTCAAATAACGATAAATTGATGTGTAGTTTTCTTTTTTCTAATATTTAAGACTTTTCGATGCGTACCTCAGATTTATTATGAAAAAGATTAACAAAGGTTTAAAATATTCTTTTCAACAAAGGATTAATTTACGCGATTCGAGTTATAGTAATGATAGGGACACCGAATAGCTCTTGTTTTCTGAAATGTCATTATTTCTGGTTTCGAAGTTGTTAAGAAGATCTTGTAAATACTTTGGAAATAAAATAGTCTTATAAGAGTGTTATTATGAAAGTTAACCTGAAATTATTAATTAAATTAATTTAACAAAGACCAGTGTTGCTAAAAAAAAATGATTTACCATTACTGATTTATTATTTTCAACGTTTTATATTTACAATGAAGTGGAGAATTTCTTTTTCCCAAATTGTTAATGGTAAAAAGCTACACACGCTTAGTAGCAAAAGAAAATAATACAGCAATAGTATATAAAGCAAATACCATTGCATTACTTAAAATTTCTTCAGTTATCACAAATAAATATTTGCGTGACAAACGATTAAAGAGTTATGTTACCATTTTAGGTAAAAAATTGATTGAACGTGTACAATGAAAACGTGGCAAGTTTGGTGGTCGATATCGAATTGCTGAAAACAAATTCGAAGGAGAGGACTAAAAAGTGTTGCGGTGTAAATTAGAAGCTTCGTGAATCTTGTTCGTTGGAAACGGATACTTGTTTCTTGCTGTAGCGTGTCAGCTTGATATTGTGCGACCCGTTGACCAGAATACCAACAACGTCGCTTACACCGTTGCCTACTTACAGGAACGGTTGTTTGTAATCGAAAATAGATGTAGCTTATGAAGATTTGCTGCATTTCTTATCATCATCCTTGTTTGTAAGTCTATCATAACAGGTACCTACTGAAAACTGATAATACAATCGAACTAAATTTTTACTTATAAATAGTAATGATATTAATAACAACATAATGTTATTTTCCATGCATGTAAATATGTAATACAAGATAAACTATCAATGTCTGATACTCTTTTATAATTATTGTTTTCATTATTTTTGATTATTATTACGGTTTATTGTTTTCCAGATAAAACCATATTTTATTTTAATAGAATTTTATAATATAATTAATTCGTACGTGTATGTTCTCAACAAATATACTAAGTTTATAATATAAATAATATTTATAAATAATTATAATATTAATAATGAGCAATATTTGTAATATTAATATTATATTACTATCGTATTATTATTAATATAAATATTATTTATATCATGTACAAGTAAACCACGTCAATTAGTTAAGTAATTATAATATTTCTGATTATTTATAATCAAGTAATTCCCACGACACAGACTTCCTGTTTCCAAGTCACGGGAAAGGAAAAATAATATACACCCCCGACGAGCCAGAGCTTGTTCAATTATCTTCAGAACAACCGACCTCGTTTTCATGTCCAATATTCAATCAAAGGGATCGCGTCTCATCAGAGTTCCCAATACGATTTTTACATTTGGCTTGTTCACAAATTAAAAAGTGGGGAATAAACACGGACGTTCTGTGCAACCGGAAATAACGGTTCAATGAAGTTGTATATACCAGCAATTACTGTGGAATATAATAGTTACGATACCATTGCGTAAGGTCGTGTTAAAAGTTTTATATCGTTATATATTTCAGTGCTTACAATTAGTACTGTATGGGAAACAGTATCGTTATGATATTTCACTTTTTATTAAAAAATTAAGAGTATTTCGTAGAACACAATTTTCAACAGACACATTGAAATTCCATAATACAATTATTCTCAATATATTTTCATCTTCTTGTGGAATTCAAGATTATTTATTACAATTTATAAACTATCACGAAAGTTAAGAAAGTATATTATTTTAAATACTTTATTATCACTTGATACCTTAGGAAATTTCCGAAATAAGAAGTATCGAATACAACTGATTTCGTATTGTATTTTACTTCTTTTACTTTATATTTAATTTGTATTATCTATAATACTTCTATTATTTTCTACTTTTCAAATATTAATCTTTCTTAAATGTATCTGATCTACACAATAATAATAAACTTAAATTATAAAAATTAAATTCCTAAAACATAAGTTCGAATACGATTCGAAACCATTCGATTTTATTTTGAATTCACTAGAATCATTCGCAAAGATAAAAGCGTTTTCAGTAATGTTAGCTTCTTTAACACATTCCGTATCACCGGAAGTTTCGGTTATATCATACTTATGAAGTACACCGATTTTTTAAATGAAATATTAAGTTACATTCAAGTTTTTGATGACTTTTATATATATTTTAATATTTTTTCCTCACGTTTCCGCTGCTTTGCGACGTCTACCGTTATCATTTGTCACACGTCTCACGAAAAATGTTTCCTTACAAAAATTGGCATGTACCAAAAATCGCACAGGCAGCACTAAACATATTAACTATCTGTATTCAGGAGAATGTGATCCCGCATAATAATCCACGGTCCAGTAACGACAAACATTATTCATAAAGCAGGAGCCACTGACTATTTATCAGAACAAGTCTTAAACAAATATTAATTTCATTTCCCCGGGAAATGTACTTACAGTGTCACCGAGTTTGTCCGTGAAAAAAAAGTCGCTTGTTGTCTTTTCATTAGCCACGGAATTAAAAAAATGTCGCGGCGTTGTTCAGCCGCTGTCGAATAAGGGGTGAAACTTAGACAAATGAGACACCATCGATCCTCGTTTAGAGAGAACGGTCCAGTGAATAACACCTGAGGGACACCGATGAAACTTGCTCCTTCGTGTTACTGAATCTTCATCGGGCTTTCCTCAATCTTCGCGTAATCTCGGTAACAAGAGGGAACTTAGATTCGAGCGTACATAACGGTCGGAAAGTTCACCGGCCATTATTGGAAAATCCATCTGGCTGATGGAAATCTTAACGACTGAACCGTTTCAACCCATTTTTTCGCGATCTCGAATATTGAGCTCACTTTTGACACAAGTAGCTGAATCCTTTTTCAATAAAACGTTACTTAGGCCTTCGTGCTTCGAAGACACCCTGCCGCATCGTTTTCATTGAAACGCTGATACGAATATAATGCGCTGGGATTTCTGTTTCCTTTTTTTTTAATTTAACCCTTGAATGCAGGAGTTATTAATATATTATGGAATAGTTAGAAATAGTTTATTTGGATATCGGAAACCAGTAGTTGAA